CATCCAACATGGCTGCAACTTTTATTCCCTTAGGAATGATTACAAACCACCTATAGTGAACATTATCCAACATGACTGCCAATTTTTTATCATTTTTATCATTTTTAAGCGAATGAAACAAGTTTAATTTTCCTTCCTTAATATTTTCGCGGGATTGTGAAGTTGCTCTCTCTGTAGACGCGTGCTTGCTTATCAAACAAACTCTTTAATCCTTAATAAATCTCAACAGAATGGGGGTCAATCAACGTATAAGATAATTTCTAAAAAGCTTGAACTAATTAGGTTATTCAGAATTGATAATAGCTAGTATTCTTAGTCAGTATTTTTACAATATCTATTAGTAATTCTATAATATTTTTGAGTATTTTTCACTTTAAATATTCCAGCAAGCTTATCGACAAACGAACATTAGAATGACTAAGCGTAAGATTTGCTTAGCAACAACAGCCACCGAGGATGAATAAACAACACACACAGAAAACTCTAAAACATCCGATTCAAATTTCGCGTTACTATGAACCTTTAGTTTCTAGAGAATTTACGATTTTAGAGGCATTTTAAAAAAGATTTTTGATGTAGAAAGTGAAGGAATTCGTACAACATTCGATATGTTTGTTGTCAAACTTTTCCAGTTGGTGAAAAATTTGATACAACTAGGGTTCCACGACTAGGCTTGATAAACAAATATATTTATCTATATTAGTAATATTACAATAACTCATAATGCAAAAATGATTGAAATTAGGATTTAGCTAAGATACGAGAGATTTGATAGGATTATTCAACGGAGTTCGGCTGAAAACTTTTGACTCGACTGCTACTGCATGAATGACGCCACGTTGCTTCCTTCTACGATAAGCCGAAATTCGAGTCACGACTGACTCCTTTTTTCAAATAATCATCGTTGTTTATCCTTAATCTTCATTATCTAGTAACTTAAAATTTTAGTAAAAAAAACAGTTGTCGAAAAAACGTTCTTACCTTCATAGCGACAAGCTTAGAATATTCAACACGAGAAAAGTCTTCAGTAAACAGGTTCTTCGTGCGGCAAACGATTCAAAAAGCTTTCTAATGAGCTTGTTTTAGCTTCTGATAAACCAAAGCTCTCAACTTTTTGATATAGAATATTGAATTGACGTACTAATCACACCTAAATTATCACTTTAGCTCTGTCTAGTAAGTTCCGGAAGTTTGACTGCACCGTTGCTTAGTCAACATCTTGGATCAGTGTCGCAAAGATAAATGAAGGTTTAGGCAATCAAGCGTAGATGATTGAAAGTTTCTCTGTAAACTAAGCTCTTGGGTCTTTTTCTTTAGGTTTATAAAGCTTGTCTTTTAGAACAATAAATATGTAAAATACAGACGTCATTATCATTGTTTATCAATCTATAAATATACAATGATGAGGAGTTTGTGTGACGAACCAAAGCATGAGAAATGCGGAACTGTGTCTTCAAAAGCCCGCGAAAGCAAAAATGGTTTTAATGAATTTCTTTATTTAGAGAATTAAAACGAGAAATAGTAGGTTGAATTAAATAAGCAGCTGAAAAATATTTTTGAAGCATTTTTCCAAGTTTTTCCTTTTCCTTTTTCTTTTTTTTTTTTTTTTTTT